TAAATCACCATTCGCCATAGATGCTCGCTAATTGCCCTACAGCACCCCTTTTCTAATTTTTTCTTCCCCATCATTATCCTCAGGCTTGCGATTTAAGGCTGGTGAACCATCTAAAGACGAGTTAGAAGCTTTGTCCCGGAAACTTGGCAACAAGTGGGAGAATCTAGCACGACGACTGGGATTCGACTCAGACGGCGAAATAGATGCTTTCAAAGAAGAAAAGGGGTTGGCAAATAAGGCTTTCAGTATGTTAAAGGAATGGAACCAAAAGGAAGGCTCCAAAGGCACTTATGTAGTTTTGGGCAAAGCCTTGTGTCATAAGTTTGTGGGATGTACAAAACTAGCAGAAGAGTTTTGTTGCGATAAGATTGAAGGGAATGGCTCTCTTTAGTCTTCTATTGCAAAAATGGAGTTTTTTCATCGTCACTTCATCTAGGTTATAACGTTTGTCTTTCATCAATCTGGTACCCTAGCTATTGAGCATCTGTGTCAACAAGCATTGGTGCTTAGAAAGTCACTCATTTTTCTTTCAGTTGAAGAGAGGGAAAAACATTGCCTCAAAGAATAGATATGTACTCTTATTTTTTTTTATTAAAGAATCGTTGTTTTAATTGAGGCACTATGTCATGAATTGGTTGAACGCGCAGATTTAGCGGAGGAACTTTACCGTCGCAAACAGTTTAAGTAACTGATGACCTTGTGGCCCTCTATACCTCACCCATCCCACCCCAGGGGAGGACATCCATCACACAGTAATCTCGTGTGTGGGAAATTCACGTCTCCTGCTCCTAATCCTACAGGAGACGGGACCTCCATTTATTCGTCCCTATCCGAGAAGACTAGATTATCTAACCATTTCTTGATGTTGTAGAAAGGTACCAAATTCTTCTCAGTTATTTAGACCCTGAGTGTTGGTCCAGCCGGGGCTCGAACCCTCAACCTCCTGCACAACAGTCCAGCGCTCTAACCAATTGAGCTAACCGGGAGGCGGTTAGAATTAAATCCAATGCCATAAGAAATAATTGTAACGAATCTTCTCTCAAAATTAGAATAGCCTGAGACAAAAGGTCTTGTGAGATATATTTGAATCGCGGACGAAAATCTTTATATTTCCAGGAGTTCCGCGCTAAGGAAAAACAAATGGATGGATGGATGGATGACCTTTATTTAAACACGATAAAAAATTTAAAGCTACAAGCTTGAGTGGTCGTGTATTTACAATTAAAAACATAAATCTTAATGTAAATAAAATGTAAAAATATTGATAAGATTAGTAACTAAAGCATTACGAATTATACATTAAATTTATTTTTTACGAGATGAAATCATTACTGAATGGGTAAAA